GGCTGGTGCGGGATCGGGCAGTGTTTCGTTCTGCTGTGCATGGGGTCGCTATGAGTCGGAAACGACTCGACGGCACTTAACAACAACAACAATGTAGATCACAATGAACCTTGGTTAAAAAACCCAGAAATCTTTCAGGAGTGATGTTCAGTATTACTCCGTAAGGCAAAAAGCAGCCACTTTAGCACATGATAACTAAGAACTCCATTTCAGAGTGGTACCAACTCAGAACTTCATCTCCATGCAATGAGGTGCTTATTTCAGAAGTCATGAGGTGTCTCTCTAACAGCTCCTTCTGCAATGGAACTCTACTGCCACTGATTGTGTTTTTGGGTAGAAGAAAAATGAATGCTAATTTGAAGTGTTTTCTTTTTAAAAAAGTTTTTGTTATGAAATTTTTAAAATATGAATAAAGGTACAGACAATAGTATCACCCCCATGTATACTATATCTAGCTATAACAATTATACCAGCAATTGGATAATCTTGTTTCATATTTATTTCCACCCTCTTACATCACTTGATTATTGTAAAGGAATCTGTAAATATTCCTGTACAAATCTCTAAAAAAAGGATTTTAAAAAAAATTACCACTAATACACTGAAAAACTAATAATGCTTCCCTTAAGATCTTCTAAAATTCTTTGTTCATGTTTTCCTGATATTTAAAAAAAAAAAAAAGTTTTCATTTTTTATTGACTCATGATCCAAATAAAGTCCACAAAATACAAATAATTGATCTGTCACCTTAAGTTTCTTTCAAACAGGTGCCATGACCCACTTTTCTCTTTCCTTGAGAATTTTGTTGGAAATAAAAGGGAGAGTTGTTTGTCCTGTCTCAATTTTGCTTATTACATTCGTACTCATTTAATGTTTTTCTATGCCCTGTATTTCATGTATATTGGTTGTTATAGTTTTAGGTTGATTTAGTGATACAGTTTTATAGCTGGTACTTTCCATCAGAAAGCGTATAATGCCTTTTTATCTCTCCTTTTTCAAGAAGTTATAAGCTATTGATGATCATTGCCAAGACTGATAGATTGATTAATATTTAGGACTTACAAAATCATGATATTTTAATTCTCTAATTTCTTCTTCATTATTGTGATAATTCTATGATGGAAAAACATTCTGTCATCACTATTTTTATTGAGCTTCTTAAAGGAAAATGAGAAGACATTCTAGTTTTGTTTTTTTTTTTTTTTGCTAGTTTTTGAAATAATAATTAGTCCCCTTGCATCTTTCAAAGGAGACCAATGATCTTTTTCTTATAATCATTATTTCATATATCTCAATCTATTATCATTAGTATCCTAATTGGTACTCAGATTGTTCTGTCTTTGATCAGCAGAATCATATTCAAGTTGGCTCCCCAGTCCTTTGGAAAACTCTTAAAATATTGCATATCTCCTTTGATTTCCAGTACCATATATTTCAGACTTATCTTGCACATTTCCTGCCCTAATCTGTAATCAGTCATTTCTCCAAAGATCGCTGCTTCTTCTTAGTGGGTAAGATTGAAAGTAATAATCCAGAATATTATTCCATAATGGTATAGAGAGATATTTTTTATTCCATTTAACAGCTGCACAGTACATCATTGTAGGGAAGTACCATAATTTATTCAACTATGATTGAAATTTGGATTGTTCCCAATCATTTTCTATTACAAATAGTTTGACAATGAACACCATAAGCAAATGTTCTTTTTCTTTCACATTATTTACTCAGGATAAAATCTTGACTTTTTATTAGAATTAAATTTACTTGATAAAATATCTATACTATGGCCTTGTGAAATTGTGATTTTTATGGAATTGACCTGTCTTTATTCTATGTGACACCAGATTTTGTATGAAATTTCTAGAGCTAGACCAACTCCTCAATACTCTCTGGAGCAAAAGTACCTGTTACAAAAGGGATAAAATCCACCAACGTCAGAGGAAACAAAACAACACACCAATCCATGATCAAGGCTACCCTAATTTATCTGTATCCGTAGACAAAGAGTCAGAAGTTGGTCCAGTTTCGTGGGATCAGGTACTGCTATTAATCTTCTTATACCATCACTTGCTACTGTTAGACAAAGACAAGTTGTGAAAGTTTTATAAGAGTTGTAGAAAATTTAAAGAATTAGTGTGCATTTCCTTCAAAGCAAAAATATTTCTACAATGCAGTCATAAGTTTTTTCTTCTCCAAGTGGATCTCTAGACATAAATATGAGACCAGGATATTTAGAAGAATGTTACAAATTGCTTCTCTGCACCAGTTCAGGTTGAATGCATAAGTAATTAATTCATCAAACACATATTGAATATTTACTCTGTTGCAAGTGACCATTTTATATCCTTTGGCATTAGGGATACAGTGTTGAGGAAAAATAGGAATAGCCTTTTTGGAGTTTACAGCGTCATTAAATCAACACAGTGATTAATGAACATTTCAAACTTAGATTAGGAACAAATTAGTTTGGGCTGTGAGCAGTACAGACATATTTATAGAGTAGGTAACACAGAAGATTTTTAAGAAAACATGATAAGTGTACTTGTAGACATATCCATATCTATATATCTTAAAGTTGTGTTCATTCACTGCTTCTTGGAAAGGGATAGCGTGGTCAAACCAGTTTGGGAAATACTGGAGATTCACATTATGTTGTAGCATTTTAAGGTCTTTGGTGGTGGTGTCTTTTAGTAAACTTCTTAAATCTTATTGAACCCAGAATTTCTCAAACTTTTACCATAGAAGTCTTCCCTGCCTTAGTCAATTACTATCTTGAAAAATTAATGATCCATGACATGGTTTACATTAATTGAGTACTTACTATATGTCAGACAATATGCTCTTCATCTTAACTATTTCATTTAATTATGAGAGCAACTGTATAAGTCACCCGCCCCAAGATGAACAACTCACTGCCATTCAGTTGATTCCAACTCATAATGACTCTCTTAGTGTTTACAAGGTTGTAAATCTTTATAGAAGCAGACTGCTTCCTCTTTCGCCTATGAAGCAGCTGGTGAATTTGAACCACCAACATTCTGGTTAGCAGCTTTAACCACAACACCACCAGAGCTCCTTCTATATGAGGTTAGGGTATGTTATTCCATCTTACAAATGAAGACACAGAGGCATAGAGCTAATAAGTGTGTAATTCACAGAACTTGGGTATATATATATATATATATGTGGATTGTTTGATAGCAGATTCTGAGCTCTGGACAACTAAGGTAATGTTTGGAAAATGTTAAATTAAAATTATTTTCATTATTTGTATCTTAGATGACCAATACTCCTATAAAGTATAATCCATATCCTGAGAGAAAAATT